ACCAAGGAAACCAAAGAGGAACGAATCAGGAGTTAATGGGTAGTTAAGCAGTACTTACTGGGGAACACACAGCTAAGCCTTATTGTGGGACTACTGGTTAATGACCTTGTAAATAAAGAGAAACTAATCAAGAACTAATGGATAATTACCAAGGAAACCAAAGAGGAATGAATCAGGAGCTAATGGGTAGTTAACCAGTACTTACTGGGGAACACACAGCCAAGCCTAATTAGGGGACTACTGGTTTGTTACCACAGAAACAGGAGAAATTATCCAGGTGGGTTTTGAATAAACCCTGCACCAGTGAGGTCACAGCTCATAATTGTCAAAAACCTGTTTCCTAGTGATTACTGATTTTATTACCCATTAGCTCCTGATTTGTTCCTGTTTCGTTTACTTGATAACTACCCATTAGTTCTTGATTAGTTCCTCTTAATTTACTAGGTAACTAACAAGTAGTCCCTTAATAAGGCTAGGTTGTGTGTTCCCTAGTAAGTACTGGTTATCTACTTATTAGCTCCTGATTTGTTTCTCTTTGGTTTCCATGTTAACTACCCATTAGTTCCTGATTGGTTTCTCTTCATTTCACATGCAACTAACCAGTAGTCCCCTAATAAGGCTGGGCTGTGTGTTTCCCAGTAAGTACTGGTTATCTACCTATTAACTCCTGAGGTGTTCTCTAGTAGTTAATCAAATTTTGTGCACCTTATTGTAAAGTGTTACCATACTTTTAATGTCAGGATTATTCTAAAGATTTAAACGTGCTTTGTGAGAAGACTCCTGTTCCATCTTCAGCTACTCTGTGGATAAAAATATATGGTTTGATGGCAGAAACCGACGCAACTACAACCTGTAATACTTCACTAAAACCATATTACCATGTAGGGATGATATCAGATTACAGCCAGATGGATTTGAATTGGAAGATGTAATGACTGATCATATCTTGTTGTCGTTGCAGGTATTTGGTGACTATTATCACTTCAGGCATCGTACTGTGGTGAAGCGATCGCTGTCGGTTCACAGAGGGACGCATGTTCGACTACAAAAAGATCCCAAGGTAAGAAATTCACCTTTAACTTCAGATGTGTCTATTCCTCCCTTCAGTGACATTTTAATGCAAAATGCTAGGCTAACCACGAGGATGAATTGGGGTTTAATGTCCTGCCTGAGGGTTTCATTGAAATAAAGACCTTGGATTAAACCCCCAGTTAGTGATGAACCTGCTTTAATCTTTAGATTTTTCTTTGATGTTTTAATTTACTAATTATTTCAGCCCTGCAGATGTATTCAGAACATGTAAATCTTTTCCCACTGCTGGAAACAACATACATAGCATGACCGCGACACTGCTGTGAAACTTTATTTTCTTACAGTAAAGCCAAGTTGTTTTTTGAAATTGGAGAATTTTTATACACACCCCAAAGACGATAACTATAATGTATTATGGGCAAGTATTATGCCCATGTATTAACATGTATCATGTATTATTAGCATTTGTAACGTGGGGGGGTGGGCACTGGTGGGGGTCCTCCCCCAGAAAATTTAGAATAAAGTAGATGTCATGTCCTTCATTCTGGTGCATTTTAATGCTTAAGCATAAATTTTTTCCTACATAAGTAAACACTTGATTCAATAGCTATTTTAGAGAGCAACAAGAAGTAGCGCTAAGCTAGCAGTGCACAATACCGACACGCTAGATGAGATGTTACAGAAAACGTATTATTACAGTCCTTCTCAAATAGTGGGGCGCGCCCCCCTGGGGGGGCCTGGAGCAATGCCGGGGGGGGGGGGGGGGGGGGCGCATGTGAACCTAGAAAACATGCTTTTTATGCTGCAGAGAGTAGGCATTTTTTATTGTATTTTATATATTTTTTTCACCATTCTCATTTTGTTGCGTGCGTTCCTAATAATAAAGTTATGAACAAATATGGCTGCCTTGTCGTTTTGGGAGCCAGGCACGAACCGTGTCGCTCCCCTCTGCTGCCGACACGATAAATAAACTCCGACCGACGTCTCCTACGTCCTCCGCTGCCGTTTTCATGTCCATGCGCTCTGGACGTCACTCACAGCGCGCATGCAACAAAGAGTAAACTCAAGCGAGAGCGACACCTGCTCCGTCTTTCCTCCTTTGCTTTGACGAAATGTTTGTTTTATGGACGAGTTTGTCAAAGCACATTTTACGGAAGTAATGTTTAATAAATGTTAGGACTCTATTCTTTGCTAACAAAATATATTGACCTCAGTTTAGCTGCTGTTTTTTTGATGCTCTGGATATCGATGAGTGTGCTCATTGATCCTGACTCCCTCATTTTGATTAAAAAAAGAATCTGCATAAATTGTTTTATTCATTTTTGTTTTGTAGGTCAAAGTGTTTTATAAAACACTCCTGAGTTAAAATGTTGCTGATCAGTTTTAATTTACTATTTATTGATTATATTTAATTTTATTTTTCAGTATCAAATGGTCAAAAATGTTTACAGTTTAATTGATTGTTTTTTTTTTTTTGGGGGGGGGG